ATTAGCTTCAAATGCTTATCAATATTAAAACTATTGTTAAGATCCATCAATGGCCCATGGTAATATTGCTGAACACAGCTAGATCAACTCCATTTCATATCCCTGCGAATGAGCTGTCTGTATGCGAGTTCCTCGTGGTTCCTCTCACGAAAACAATGTATGCGAACGTGTAAAAATACAACCAGGATCTCTTGTAGCGAGGCTAGTAACATTAGCAAAATTTGAGTAGTTTTTTATGAATGAAAAAAAAATAATAATTAAAAATATGTGTAACATACGGTTTCGTATATGATCTTTTCTGGAAGTATAAATAAGAAAACTTGTTTGCAAAATTGTCATGAAATATCCCTAGGTGTCTAGAATTTTTATATTTCCATTTTTTTGGCAAACAGCTTTAGTTATTGCCTTGACGTCATCACAATTAGATAAATCTCCGATTTATGTACTGGAAACAATTTTTTTCTATGATCAACTTAGCGCATTAGCGCATGTTTTTTTTTTTTTTTTTTTTTTTTTTTTTTTTTTTTTTTTTACATATTCTCGCGCATAGCATTGACTATGTGTTCATGGGTATGCATGGATAATCCGCAAACCAGATAATGCGCACCTGGATAATCAAGAGAACAGTGTATTCATTTTAATAATTTTTTTCGTTGAATCGTGAATGCGATTTAAAGGATAGTTCTTATTAATCTGACCGATCATTTAACTCGTGAAACAAAATATAAATAATCCTTAAAAAATGAACTAAGAATTTTTTTTATCTTGCATATAGCCAATACTCAATAGCCTTTTAGTAATATAAGCTACCTCAGATTCCCTTTGTTTAATATTTTATGTAGAATAATTTAACAGACCTTAAAAGGGAAGTATCGAAAAAGAATCTGAATCTGTCTTCTTTCGATCAGGCATTGATTTTCTAGAATCATTACCTGTAATTCCTTGTCGTGCCTATGGCCTTTTGCGTTGATTAGGTAGATAATGGTGTTTGAAAAACACCAACACCCAGTGGGGGGAGCAAAATATAAAGAATCATTCATTCTTCGCTGAGAAGCAATCACGTTTAAATGGCAAATGTTATGCGGTTGGTAAAAATGGCATAATCAATATGGCAATCAGGGGCGTAGCTAGAGGGGGCAAGAGAGGGCATCTTTCCCCGGGCGCAGAATTCAAGAGGCGCCAAACTGATGTTACGACATTTTAGAATTAAATGTTTTCCATCCTTGGCAAGCAGTAGGGGGCACAAAATCTTCAGTTGTCCCTGGGCGCTGAAAACCCTAGCTACGACTCTGATGGCCATCGCGAATTATTTATAGGTAAGTAGCAATTTTTATATAGGCGTATCAGCGCATAGTTGTAAAGGCAACCAGTCGTAGCGCCAATTATAAATAAGCAATGCGAAAATTGAAGTTCATATGGCATAAGGATAAGCAGTACAAGCAATTTAGAGTCAATTATAGAATTCAAAATCAAAACAAGCAAATAAAGCAATTGGATGGCAAAAAGTTCCGAAAGACTGGCAAAAGGTGTTGAGTGCGATCAACATGATAAGCATAATGTATTACATTCTTCTTATGCATATTCTCGATTCGCTTGCTGACTTTCGACCTTGTGGGACGTGTGTGTTCATCGCTCCGCGAGACCGAATTAGTTAAGCCTTTTGAGTGCGTTCGCACCTTGTGTTTCTCTTTGGATGTGTTTTGCTATACTCCTATGTGATAGTGTTTAGTGATTCTCCCACAATGTGTGTTTGAAATGGAGGGAAATGAGTTTCCTCCATCCAATTCTACTTATGAAGACGGCGGATCGCTGCCACGTGACTGGATTAACAGCGGCTATAATGGAATACGGACACTCATTAGACTGCAACTTGGAATCTCAAGCACAGCTTCACTCCAGAGGATTTAGTTCGAGCTCTTCATGTTAAGGCCACTATTGAAACGGATCTTGAATCTTCATACACATAAGTAGTTTTCAGTCGTGAGACTTTTACTACTATATATCTCTTCGATTACTTCATGGGGAACTTCGGTGAAGATTTTATAAAAACTTCTACACCGAAGAATATAGCTCGCTCGGTTATGTAGAAGTTTTTTATAAAACCTTCTAAGCAATATATGATAAGCAAGCAATAATCTTTGAAACATGAGTTACTGAGAATCCAACAGTAGCACAGCTCAGAAGTTCTCAAGTTCAAAAAATTCTGCAAAGATAAATATTATACATAAAAGTAAACTGTGACATTTAAAAAATAAGAAAAATCTGGATTCTATGGAGAAGTTGAAAAAATATGTACAAGTCCCATTTGAAATTTTTCCTGGTTCGGTTGGGACCGAACCCATAATCTCCTGAAGCAAAAGTGTCGAGGTCTAGTCCACTCGGCTACGTCTTCATCTGATCAGTTGTGCGCTCAAGTGAACTTAAACAAAAAGTTCGAGCTCCTGTAAAACAAAATCTAGTTTTTCGTTCTCGTTAGTGACTTTGGTAAATTTGTGGTAGAGATCTTTAAGCTTGAATATTAGGGATTTAAATTCATCTAAATTTTTTACTTCGGAAATTTTCGTTTTTTCGTTTATTAGCTGTAACATTTGCATAAGTTTTCTTAACTGGATCTTTAGGTTTTTGTTGTTCTGGATTTTGTTTATAAAATTAGGAAAATCTTCTTTAATGGGAGTTTTCTGCTTTTGTAGGAATTTCTTGCTAGGATACTCTGGGCAATCAATACTTGTAGCGGTGTGAAAGCCACTACAAAGGACACATCTTGCTGTTATTTCTTTTTCCCTTTAATAGGGCACTGGAAAGATTGGTGATTTTCAAGACATCTGTCACATCGTGGATGGTTGTGGCATGCTCGCTGCGTGTGTCCATATCTCTGACAGTGGTAGCATTGTACCGGTCCTGGTCTTGTGTTATAACCGGCGATGCGAACTCGCATGTCACTGATGTGCGTAATGTTAAAAACTTATTTTTCTTGTGCAGTTCTCGGTGTTTCTAAATAAAAAAACTGGCAGCATCATGTGAATTCCGTCTTGCATTCATTGAATTTGGTGCAATTTTAAAACTGTGATTCCGTTTAAGTTTCTCTTTTATTTCTTCTATTGGTGTATGTACCGTTAATCCTTTGATCACTGACTTTCCTTGGTGAATTCTTTTTCTTGGTGAGGAGGAAGGTATGAAAGGGAATAGGGGCTTTCTCTAGGTACTCTAGCACTGTGCGGAAGTTATCTTCTGTGAAAAATTGAAATCTGATATTGTCTCCTTCGACTTTAGTTACAAGTTTTGCGATTTTAAATTCTCTTTGATATGTTTTCTTATTTTCGACCAAATAATATTTTTAAAATCTGTAATAACAATAGGTGGTATTTTGGTTTCTCTAAGATACGGGCTATTTGGTTTTTTCAGCATTTCAGCTTTTAGTGGCATATCAACATCTTCATTATTTGCATCTAGTATTTCTTCATTATTTAGTGAATCATATCGCGAGCAGCTGCTAATCGGTTGAGAATCATAGGAAAAGCCGCTATCTCTACGTGATCTTTTTGGGCGTTTTACAGTTGTCCAATCATGTGAGTTATTGCTAGTAGTTAGAGGTCAGAATTGAGAAATAATTTGATCTAAGTCTTGTTTAGGGATGAATGAATGTAATTTCTTTTCTTGAGTTTTTAGTTCCGCTTGCATAGATCGTCGTAATTCGACGCTTTCGCGCGTGGTCAGTAATTGCTGCACTTGATTTATGGTATCTTTTAATTCAGAGATATGTTGAATAATTTTTTGGGCATCGCTGTCAATATCTTTAGCAGGAGGCTTCCGCTTGTTAACGCATTTGCCTTTATTATCCACTGACATTTTGGAGGCTATCCGGCTAGTCACATATTCAAAATCATACTTATAAAAATGGTCAAGCAAGAGAGAGAGCAAAAAACAGAACCATCTCTATGAGCTCAACGGAAGTTAAAGCTCGAGGAGTTGCTGTTGCTCGCACGATGAAAATGGTCGATAATAATGCTGATCTTAAGAAGAAACTACAAGAGGATTTCAACAATTACTATGCCGTAACGGAAGGACTCTGCAGAATAATTCAAGGTAAGTGTGAGTTTTTCGATGCCAAAAATCCAAATGTTAATATCCTTGATACTGTTTTTTGTGCTGCAACGCAAAATCAAACAACTAACATTAATAGTATTTTCATTGATATTAACATACCGATAATTTTTTTATAAATAATTTTGTGTCCATTTTATTTCTGTATAAAAGTTCAGATATGTTTCAGTTTATTTAAATCAGCTCTGCTATATTTACAATATCACTCGAATCTTATTTTTATTTTCTGTTTGATAAATCGGTAGAACAGTATTTAGTATTTAAATATCCATCATTACGATGTAACATAGTACGTAATTATTCCTAAAATTCGAAAATATTAGTTGTAAAAATTAATTTAACTTGACTTGAGTTTGAAATAAAACGCTGCGTACTACATAAATGAATCAGTCGGCTACGTCTACCGAGGAACGATCGCCTTCGATTGTGACGTCACAAATCGGTGGAGCAGGCCTGTAGATATCTAGTTGGCCTTGGTAGGATTTAATTATGTTTGTGATGTAGCCTGGAAGTCCCAGGTTGTGTAATTTGTATATGAGGGCATCCAGCCATACTCTATCGAAAGCCATTACAGCTGCTTGAAGCTCGTGCAATATTACTTAGAAGCTGCAGTAAGAAAAAAAATGTAAACAAAAACATTGGAGTCAAAATATTGTTCACATTGTGATTGATCTTTATACGTCACTTTACAATAGTTTTCACTTTTGGATCATAATTTCTTATTTCTTTAACAGTTTCCTATCGGTATTTTTTCATGTATTCTAAAAAGTTACGTGCAGTTATTTATAGTTATTATAATTTGATGCCTTTTCTTAGCTAAGCTCGATTTTTCGCCCTGCGGCCAGAAAGACGTAATGGGCGCTAAACAATATGTTTTGCGTCGGCCTCTGTCTTGTTTTTTTTTTTTTTTTTTAAAGGAGTGAATGAAGAGATTTGATGACAAATTAATACTAAATGTCCTTTTCTGCTGGAAATACTTTATATAATGTTCATGGTGAAATCTGTAATACCTTTGGCAGGTTTAAGTATGTAAGTTCTTCAAATTGTTAAGAATTGCCTAACAACTCTAGAAAATCAAAGTAGTATGTAAGCGAAAAGCGTAAATTCATAATTAAAGTTTTATATAAACTTAGGTAAAAAAATCATATTTATGAGAACTGCGATGAGCTTCGTTTTCATAATATGTTCTGGAAATCATCGCACTCTGGATATGACTCAGTACTGTATATTTAGAAAGAATGTAATATATTTATTTGAACAAAATATTGAAAGATAGGGTAAAATTTCTATAAGCAAAAGCATTTTACTTCGTACAGAATGCGAACAACATCATGTAGTTAGTTACGTAATATCAAGACCATAATATTATAGCTATGTGTATAGTCCTTATCTAGAGATATGTAACCTATCATTTGACAAAAGAAATATTTTAAAGGATTTTCATGCATAACCAAACAGGAAAGAAGCCTTGTGTGTATGAGATATGTAATTCAGACATGTATGTGCTTATTCACACAGTACATAAATTTTATGTACCTATGTAACAGACCATTTACCCTAAAATGCAAGTTAAACATGCATAGTGAAGATAAACCTTATGAGGAATAAAGCAATTTTTTTCAACAAAAGATCCAGTTACACAAACATATGTGTATACACACAGGAGAAAAACCTCATGTGTGCAAGGAATGTAATAAGTTATTTATACAAAAGGATGAATTAAGCAACCATATGCTCATCCACACAACAAATTGACTTTGTATGTGAGGAGCGTAAGATGTGATTAAGAAATAAGTCATTTAAATCAACATACACTTATTTACACAGTAGAAAAACCTCATGAGTGTGAGGAATGTAAGTCATTTAGAGGAAAACATGGTAAATGTGCATCTACTTCACTACACAGAAACTTTATGTGTGTGATGTATGTAAGAAGTCATTTGGACAAAAGAGTGCTTTAAACAAGCATATGCTTATTCACACAGGAGAGAAATGTCGTGTGAGGGTTATGCAACAAGTCACATACCAAAAAAACGCAATTTAAACATTCATATGCTTGCTCACACAGGAGAGAACCTCATGTGTGTGAGGTATGTAACAAGTCATTTAGACAAAAATGTGAATTAAACAGGCATGTGCGTATTCACACAGGTGAGAGACCTTATATGTGTGAGGTATGTAAAAGGACCTTTAAACAAAAGGGTACTGTAAACAAGCATATGCTTGTTCACACAGGAGAAAAACGTTATGTGTGTGAGTTATGTAACAAGTCGTATGTACAAAAGTGTGGTTTAAAAGTTCATTTGCTTGCTCACACAGGAGAAAAACCTCATAAGTGTGAGGTCTGTAACAAATCATATAGACAAAAATGTGATTTAAATAAGCATATGTTTATTCACACAGGAGAGAAACCACATGTGTGTAAGGTATGTAATGCATCATATGCACAAAAAGGTTATTTAAACCAGCATATGCTTATTCACATAGAAGGGAAACATCATGTGTGTGAGTTATGTAACAAGTCATATAGACAAAAAGGTGCTTTAAACAAGCATTTGCTTATTCACACAGGAGAGAGACCTCATGTTTGTGACATGTGTAATAAGTCATTTAGACATAAAAAACATTTAGACAATCATATGTTTATTCACTCAGTAGAAAAACCTCATGTGTGTGAAATATGTAGTATGTCATTTGGGCAAAAGAGATATTTATATAAGCATATGCTTATTCACGAGGAAGAGAAACCTTATGTGTGTGAAGTATGTAACAAATCCTTTAATGGAAAAGCTGAATTAAATAATCATATGCTTTTTCATACTGGAGAGAAACCTCATATCTGTGAGATATGTAATAAATTCTTCAGACTAAAGAGATATTTAAATAATCATATGCTTATTCACACAGGAGAGAAATCTTATGTGTGTGAGTTATGTAACAAGTCATTTAGACAAAAAGGTGGTTTAAACTTGCATTTGCTTGGTCACACAGGAGAGAAACCTCATGTGTGTGAAGTATGTAACAAATCATTTAGACGAAAAATCGATTTACATTATCACATGCTTATTCATACTGGAGAGAAACCTCATATGTGTGAGATATGTAACAAATTTTTCAGACTGAAGAAGTATTTAAGTGAGCATATTGTAATTCACAGACGAGAGAAAACGCAAACCTGACATATAAAAATTCATTTGTGGTAAAGGGTAGTTTAAATGCCCATACATGTATCGACATCAGGAGAGAAACCTCTTGTGTGAAGTATGCAAGAAATAATTTGGCTAGAGGAAGAATTTGAAGGAACATGTTTATTTACATAAAATAGAAGCTTTTGAGTTGAAGCCTTGTGTGTATGAGATATGTAATCATTCATTTAAATGAAAATTCATTTAAATTAACAAGCACCTTTACATATTGTGTCCATTTAAGAGCTTTTTCCTTGTATGTAACTTGTAATTTTATCTAAATTTAATTCATCATTTATTAACTTCTATAAGAGAAAAACTTCTTGTATGCAGTATACATCGCAATCCACATGGTTTACATCGCAAGATTCTTTTAAAGAAATGCGAACTTTAAGCAACATTTCCTTATCCATGATATTAAACAAGTTTTCTGATGAAAGAGGGAAGGAAAGTTGAAAAGTTTTGAGACAGATTCAGTTATTCAGAATGAGATGAATGTGTGGTTCTCACATTGCTCTCATTCCTGAACATGAGTCCTTCATACTGAATTGCACTTTGCTTATGATGTTGTTAAAAGTTTGAATTTTTAAATATTAAATGTAGTTGTAAAATTTTAATACAGTGGAACCTCGAGATACGAGTTTAATTTTTTCCAGCATTGAACTTGCATAGTGAATTTTTTGTATCTAGAATCAAACCTCCCCATTGAAAATAATGGAAATCCAGCTAATCCTTTCAGCACCCCCAAAATCTCATTACCATCTCATCTTCAGTCAACGTACCTGGTGTTTTTCGGAGGAGGTCCATCTAAAGATTCCGAGCCTTAGCGCAAATTATAGCTTCTGACACCAAATCTCCTTTTAACTGCTTCTCGTTAATCCACACCAACAACAGTTTCTTAATATCTTCTAGGAGGTTTGCATGGTGCTTGGATGTAATAGTAATTCCTTTGGCCACATGAAGTTTCTTAATTTCTTCCTTCTTCTTCAGAATAGTGCAGATTGTCGATGTTGAATGGTCGTAAGTCTGCGAATTCCATCACTCCTACCCCACACTTATGTTTATCTATGATTTCTTTCTTAATTTCACAGCCATGGCTTCCTTTTTCTATTTTGCAGCACTAGTTGAGGTAACAATCTTCTTGGGAGGCATGGTGAAATAAAAATATTTTCACATTAAAAGTAAAATATTCATTAAAGTTTTGCAAAATATGAAACAAAAAATAAAATTCCAAATTTGGGCTTCCACATTCCCATATTTGGGTGGAAACATATGTTATTCAAAATTGGATGGCTCTAGGTATCTTTGTTTTATCACAGCGCAAGAAGCATACATACATTTATGAAGATTCTTCATTATTTAAATATAATACAGGGTGATAATGCTTGTTAGCAAAAATTTCGAAAAGTGAATAGGACATTTATAATGAACCAAGGCAAAATGCCAAAACGAAAATAATAGTCCTCCAGGGCAAATTGCCCCTTTGGACTAAAAACAACTCGTAAGCGTACAAGCGCGTAGATCAAAGAACTCTGAGTGATCTGACGAGAGGATTCCTCAAGACGAGCCGGATCGGGAAGCTCGCCACGCATACCAACACCCTGGCTTGTTACTCGAGTCAGTGCTTGTATTTAGAGACGAATTTTTCACTCGTGCTTTCCTCATAATCACGAATTTCTCATATATATAGGTGCTCGTATCTCGAGGTTCCACTGTAGCTTCTTACACTTTAGAAAATTAATTGGTAGTATAAACAGAATGTATAGTTGACTGAATACAAGTTAATGATTGCATCTGATGTTTCTAAAATCGTTTTGTCATTTTAAGTGTTTGATATACCAATTAAATTTAATTACAGAATAATTAAAACAGAAATTCCAGACATGAAATATAATACATTTTCCTATGTGAAATATATTGTAGTATTTTACAGTATTTTTTTTCCTCAGTAAAGTCACTTAGCATCTTCATTTATAAAAGAAAACCATATAAATACTTTTATTTTAAAATTTCAAATTCCAGTTGATAAATCTGTAATTCAAATCAAAGAGAAAATATCTTGCATAACAAAATTAAGTTATAATAGCATAGACAGAAAATACTTAAAGGCCAAAAAAAGTACAGTACGAGGTTTGAGATCCAGACTAGATGATTCCACTTTTGGGATTTTTTCAAATTATAAATCATCAATTTAAATCTTTTAAAATGACACGTAGAAATTAAAAATTTAAACTATGAAATAAGGAAACCTTTGTGACCTTATGGGAAGAATCAGAATTTACAAAGAAAGCTCAGTATTTATTTCTTTGCTTTATTAAACATTTCATTCAATGTAAATTATTTAATTTACTTTGTTTTTTTGTGCTAATACTTTATCTTTAATTTCACCAATCTTTTTTAACAACATGTCTGTGACTATCGGTGGTGATTTTTCTGGATTTAGAACTATATTACAGGTTTTGCTGCCTATTAGTTGATTGATGATTGGGACATTGCCATTGCAATGAAAAACTTGGTAATAAATGAGGGTAATATAAATATTTATTTATTACCCCTTCTCTACAAATTCCAGTAATTTGAAAATTTCACTTTTTGTTTGCAATATCCAAAATTCTTAAAATTTGTAGCTATCGTCATGAAGCTTGGCTAGTGTCTGCTATACTCTATTTGCAATATATCATGAGATTGGCGATGTGTTGTTCTGTTAAATTTTCTATTGCACGCTGAGGAAGTTAGGCTAGAATTACATTAGTTTAGTTATTTATGCCTATCTCCTGCATATGATTAAGGACTATCTGAGTCTCAAATAAATACATTCCCACATACACGTAAAGCTTGACCAGAACTAGTGCTAGACATTTTGCGATCCAGTGCACTATTTGCGGGTCCAAAATTCTGCTGCCGCCTCCCTAAATTCTAAAAATTTTGCCACCCCCAAATGTTACATCCCACTGCTAAATTATAAAGATTTTGCCTCAGTGTTTTTCCAAGTACTAAAAATTCTCCCCAAGTGTCGCAGCATAAACTCTGAAATGGATACTGGGCTTACATTAATAGCAAATCAATCTCAATTCATACAGCTCAAAATGTAATCTTTCCACCTATAAGTATCATTTACAAAATCTGTTTCGGTACTTAGGTATTAATGCAACTACCTTAGTAGAAGTCGCCAAATTTTTAAAATGTACTAAATTCTGGCAACCATACTCATAAGATTAGCCCTTTTTTCTTATGTCATTATACAGTTGACTTTCCAATGCCATACTCCTCTCATAATTTTGAGACGGATATGCCTTTATCCATGTTTTTCAATTCCACTTTTTGTTTAATGGACATCGAAACATGGTTTCGCTTTGTAGATTCTTTGGCAGCTCCAGAATTGGAAACTTTTTTCGACGTATGGAAAGTTCAAGCTTAGTTTTTATAAAATTGCCATAATAATAACAATCTGCAAAAAATATTAAGCTGGATCAAACTCAAAGATTAGGGAGCAGCGCAGTCCGCTATATTGAAATGAAATGCCTTAGAATGAGTAAAGATAATTTTAGCCTAGTTTTAGTAGCATCTGTTATAAATTATTGGCTGTGTATCACAAGATTGGCGACGAAAGCCAAGTTGTTTCGCTAAATTTTAGCTTGCTCCTATTACGTACTGAATTAAGCCTGAATTGTATTAGTTTAGTTATTTACTATACCTATGTTTATTTCTTGCACATGCTTAAAACTAATTTGAGTCCTGAATAAATAAACTCCCACATATACTTAACGCTTTATCTAGGACCGGCACTAAATACCACCTGGTGCAGTCTGTACGGATTCTAAATTCTGCTACAAAGCGCCTTCATAAGTTCTAAATTTTCACCGAACCTAAACTCTGCATCCCAGTGCTTTCTCTAAATCATAAAAAACTTCTCATCCCTTAATTTTGCCGCTCGGTGCTTCCCAAAATTTCGTCTTCCCTAAATTCTGCCGTCCGGTGCCGACATATTTTGACCCCGCTTCTGAGTTTATGGTGAATAACATATCAGTTGTTCTTAATTAAAATGGCACTAAATGTAATCTTTTGGCATATGAGTTTCATTAACAAAATCTATTTTTAGCATATGAAAAAAAAAATTGTTGAATTTTTCCTCATCGGCATTTCTTAGAGCATTTAAAAATCTATAATCATCGCCAAGCATAAAGTTAGCATACAAGGTTGCCATACTCTTGTTATTCAATTGCTAATATAAAAAAAAGTTTAGACATCACTGCAGGAGTTATTACTGAAGCTGTCACGTATTAAGATTGTCAGAGATATAAAATAGGTGAATGTTTCGGTTTGAGATGTATGCCAAGCAGATACAGTCAAAAGTCGTTAATTCGGAATGATCTATAATCCGGACCTCAAAGCTAAAAACTTTCTGCGCATGCGCCGCGTTGACACATGCACATAGGCATTTACACATGCGCGTAAGACCTTTTACGACTGCGCATATGAGTGTGCGCAAGTGCAGAATACGTTTTCGCGTGCGCGCTTTATGTATAACGGATGGTATAAGCTAAAATTATCTAATTATCGATTTCAGTTAATGTTGATGATTGCATTGTTCCTTAATTTTCGAATTGGATCCGGCTTATTATTTTTGCAGTTTTTAAGAGCAATACTATAAAAGTAAACTTGAACTTTCGATTATGTCAAATAGAATTTCCGATTCTGGAGCTCCCAAAGGATCGTGCAAAATGAAAGTATGTTTCGATGTTCATCAAACAAAAAGTGGAATTGTTGCAAAAAAATAAGCTGATAAAGAAATGAAGAATGTGACAGAGAGGTTAGTGAAAACGAAAAAAATTTCGATTGACAAGTTAGCCGGTATTCTCGGCACAGCAATTAACGGGACTTGAACAACGGAACTTTGTAACTGAACAAGAAATTATGTCTGTTTATTGAATTAAAGAGAAAGTATTATCACATAAAACGAAACAACTTACATTGAAAGAAATGTTTAATAAAGTAAACAAATAAATATTAAGCTTTTTTTTTGTAAATTTTGATACCCTTTAGATCATAATTGTTCTTTATTTCCTAAAATACGGTTTCATATTTTTAATTTTTTTGTGCATGCCATCTTACGAGATTTAAACTGATGATGTATAATCCGGTAATCGCCGAAGTCCCGACGAGTCCGGATTAACGACTTTTGACTGTACTCAGCTATGGTGCCAAATTATTAATTTCACAAGTTTATGCTTATATGATTGTTTTTCCATAGCAAGGTATTTTATTTAATGCCTAAGTGAAATTAAGAATCGGAATTTTAAGTGAAAATCTTCAATATTAAAAATTAAAATCTTCACATGTTTTATTATGGAAGGAAAAATCAAATTTGCATGCTTAAAGCATACCCAAAAAAATGTTTGTGGCTTTGATGTCCGGATTTTAGATCATTCCGGGTAATGGACGTCCGGATTTCAGATTTTGTACTGTATAATAAATAATGATTCTCCAGGTTGGCGTCAGAGCAACGATGTATCTATGTGAAATGTTTCGGTTTGAGATGTGTGCCAAAGCAGATACGGAGGAAAATTACTGATCGTACAAATTTATGCTAAAATGATTATTTCTTCAATAACAAGGTATATTATTTAGTATCAAAGTGAAATTAAGAATCGGGTCTCTCCAGATGTCTTATTATGCCGAAGGGGGGGAATCAAATGCGCATGCGTAAAGGCTACGAAGAAAATGTTGGTCGTGGTTTTGAGGTCCGGATTTTAGATCATTCCGAATAATGGACGACCGGATTTCAAACTCTGTATTGTATAAGTTAGCATTAGAATTATTTTAATTTTTGAATTGAATATTATGTTGTTGAATTTGAATTAAAAGTTAATGAATTGTTGAAATCTCACTTCTTGGGTATTGTGATAAAACAGTATAAATAAAGGTTTTGCTAAAAGTATTAAATGAATCCTTATGTAATGTATAAAATAATATCCTTATGTAAGTTACACTGTATGTCAAATATTGATCTGCTTATAGAATAGCATTTCAGTTTTGCAACTTGGTAAGTATATTCCTCATTCCCTCAAGTACATTTCATTTAAGGTATCGTAAAAGCTAATTTTATTATAGAATTATAAATTTTGTGTTATCTTAAAATCCTGAGAAGGATATGTTGAAAAATGTTGTGTATATTTGATAGTTTCTCCGTTCATTTGTTTATTTCCGGAAGAAATATTAGTTTTATTTAATTAATAATTCTTGAATTATCTACAAAAA